GTCCCTCTCCAAGGACCAGTCCCCCCTTTGCAACATGCCCAAAATATGTCAGATGTACCCCAGTGATTAAGTCAATCCATCTCATTGAAGGTCTTCCTCTTCTGCGCTGTCCCTCCACCCTCCCAAGCATGATCTCCCTCTCCAAGGACTGGTCCCTCCTTACAACATGTGTAGAGTATGTCAGATGGAACTTCAGAATTCTTCCAAGGAGCAGCCTGGTTTCACCCTCTTTAGGACAGACTAGTTAGTTCTCTTAGAAGTCTATACTATATTAGAGATAGATAAAATTATTAGCACAATTTATTTGCTAATTTTTCAATAACCTCTGTCCATTTATAAGTGATATATTCAGGTCCTCACAATTCTTTAAAAAATGGATTTCTATGAACTCTTCATGCATGTCATACTTGGTGTTCCATGCAAGAAAGATGTAGTAGTCTCTCTGCTCCTGTACTGATTTACATCCTTGAGAACCTCATGGGGAAGTGGAGGACCCTGTCTTCTATGGTTGCTGTTAGTTGGAATTGACTCTTTGTCAGTGTTGTTGGTTTTTTTCCTTCATATAGTGTTTTAATTGATCCATAATTAATATATACTAAGTTTTACATATTTTAAATATTTAAAGTATTTTAATTTCTTCTTGATAATTTTCTTTTCAAGCCAGGGTAAGCAAACTATAGAAAGGCTCAGATAATATTTTTTTACTTTATGGGCCTCCCAGTCTGTGTTAACAGCTACTGAAATTTATGATTGTAGCAAGAAAATGTCATATACAGCACATGGCTGTTTTAGTCAAGCTCTATTTGTATAAACAGGATCATATTTGGCTTGCGGAAGTTGGAAAATTGATATTTACAGAAAAAACATAGAATTTACATACTCTGGAAAAAACCACACTTAGTACACAGATAGTCGTTCTTATACTGATGTCAATGTGAATTTGTTTAATTCTTTTTTCCTAATAAATTGTAGTTTTGAATTTATTGAGAATATTCAGAAAATATATTCTGCTTTTGGAAGCAAGAGTGGGATCCACTTCCTAAACAACATGCCTCTGGAAACTCTCGGAACTTTGAGAAACGATAGTATGAAAAGGCTTCAGGTCTTTTGTTCATAGGGTTGTTAGGAGTTATGCTTGACTTGACAACAATCAGCAACAACAACATAGTAATACAAGTTTGGGATTGGAATTAGGTTTGAATATGAATTTATAACTATCTGAGTTTGTGACCATAGGCAAGTTATATAAGATTTCAAGGTTTGACTTTTCCATCAATAAAAAAGAGAAAATAGCATTTATGTCGTAATTGTTATAAGAATTCAATGAGAATATATATGACGGACTTGTACAATAGCTGGTATGTAGTAAGTGTTAGTTGTTTTTTTATTATTATTATTATAGTTTGTTCAAGAAACAAAGATTCTTGAAATAATTAAAAAATCATGATAAATTATGTATATTGTATTGAAACAGATGAGGGAAAGAACAGATTAGAAGTGATATATGATTGAGTATTATGGTTAGCACAGGAATCCAGAATTAAGGTTGCATAGAGAAGTGTACTCGGGGTGGGGGGTGGGGGGAAGGGACGTGGGAATTGTATACTAATGACGGAATTTTTTTTTTCTTTTTCTTTTTTTTTTCCTCCGGAGGGAGAAGCAAGCTGGTGGGGAGGGGTGGGCAGGGAGAAAATTGCGGCAATGAATGAATGAATGGAAATCCAAAACCTCTGTAAAAAAAAATAAAAAAAAAATTTAAAAAAAGAATTAAAAGAAATCATGATTGAAAAGAAAATAAAGCAAACTCAAGCTTATTGTTCTGTCATCACTTTGCTTAATCTAATATTAATAATATTTGAGTTCAGAATTTCAACCTAAGAAAAAGATCTTATTTGTTGCTACTAAATCTTGATTATTGTCAGAATTTTTTCCCCCTGGAATTCTCCAGTGTTAGTTCACTATGGGAAAAATAGTATTACATAATAATAGACTAAACTGTGTAAAAAGACCAAAGTCCTTTTTTATTGCGATTTTTATTAATAAAAAGATAGAGCTGTTGGGTTGGCATTTTGTTGTAAATCACTTGTCAGTGTTTTATACTGCTCATGTGTGAAATAATGAAATTACTGTTTGCATTAAAAGAGATGTCCTTCATATAACGTGTTCAATTAACATTTGACAAATAAATTTGGATACAAATGCTGAGTAAAGTAAGGATTTCTGTTTCCAATTTTTAGAGACTTTTATTTACTTTCAGAAGTGAGATGGCAAAGAGTACCCATCTAATAAGTTATTGTTAGGTGTCATCAAGTTGAGAATGACTCAGCAATCTTGTGAACAGCAGGTCTGAACCTTGCTCTGTCCTGTGCTATCCTCACCATTTTTGATACACTTGAGTCCATTGTCACTATGTCAGTCTATCTTGTTGAGGATCTCTCTTCTGCTGACTCTCCACCTTCCAAACATGATGTCTTTTTGCAAGAAGTGGCCCCTCTTTACAACATGCCCAGTGTATGTGAGATGAAACTTGACTGTCCTCACTTCTCAAGAGCATCCTGGTTGCACTTTCTCCAAGACATACTTGTTTGTTCTCTTGGTAGTCCAAGGATACACAGTATTCTTCTCCAACATCACAACTCAAAGGCATTGATCCTTCTATTATCCTTATTCACTGTCAGACTTTCAGATGCATAGCCAAGTAATTGAAAAGTCTATGATGGAATCAGGTGCATCTTAGACAAGTTACTTTAGAAAAGCAATCTGAGTGAGGTAAAGAGTGCAGCAGAAAGTACAGTTTCACTTTTTCTTACTGTAAATTTTTATGTTATTTTCTTTTTACCTACCTACTACTTATTGCACCAATAAGCAACAGCATGGTGGGTGGAGAAGAGATTGAAACTGTTACCAACTTCATCTTACTTGGATCCACAATTAACACCGTTGGTACTAGCAATTAGGAAATCAGGAGATGTATTGCATTGGGAAAGTCTGTAGTAAGGGACTTCTCCAAATTATTAAGGATGGTTTGAGGACTAAGGTGCATCTGATTCAGGCCATGGTCTTTCTGATCACTTTAATGCATCTGAGAGCTGCATAATGAATAGGAATGACAGAAGAAGTGATGCCTTTGAGTTGTGTTGGAGAAGAGCACTGAATATACCATGGACTGCCAAAAGAAAGGATGATGAGGCTTTGGCTCACATACTTGGGCATGCTGCTAGGAGGGGCTATTCCTTAGAGAAGGACATGATGCTCAGAAGACTGTAGGGTCAGCGAGGGAGAGAAAGAGCCTCAACCAGGTGGATCGACATAGTGACTGCTACCATGGGCTTTAGTGTGTCAGAAAGTGTGAAGATGATACAGGATAAGATGGGATTCAGATGTTTTGTTCACGGTCTTAAGTATTAAATGTATTCAAAGAGGAGACTTACTGGTCTTTGCCTTTTAGATTTTATATATTTAGCCAAAAATGCCTTTAAAGAGGTTGTATTTGGTTCAGTAGGTAGAAGGGAGCTATCTTTTTATTTATATTAAAATACGTTTTGCTTTTTGAAATTTATAACAAAAAAGAGAAACTCTATTTACTGTTGGCACTATTTACCTTAGTTTGCTTTTATAAAGTAATTGTATGGTTTTTTGCTGGCAATGTTATGGTTCTGAATGCTAAAACAAATAGCTCTCTGATAGCCCACTTAGTAGGGAGTTGTGCTATCCCAAAGGCTGCACCTTTCTGGTGGTTCAAATCCACTAGCTGTGTCCTTGGGAGAAAAATGGGCAATTTCCTCCTGTGTCATCTGTAGGCTTGGACACCAAGTAGAGGATCTGCTATGAGTTGGTTCCAACTTGATGGCAGTGACTTTGTTTTTTGATTATGTATGTGTGTTTTGGACTTCCCACCCTTAATTTTTTTTAAAAAAAGGTGTTTACAATTAATCTTTTCCAGTACTTCAGTATTCTACCAAGTTAGGATAAATTTTTATTCATATAAAATTGTTTGCTACAAAAATACATTTTTTTCTAGGACATCTGTAAAATTTTAGAACTCAAGTATAGAGTTATGAATGCTTCTACCAGAGTTGCATTTTGGCTTTTAGAGAAGTGGCACGCAGCCTCTCCCTTTTACGCCATGCATTCCATTAGTGCATTCAGATACCTGCATGGTTTGCTGCCAGGGGATGGTCTTCATTTCTTGTATGAAATCCAATACCCAGATTTCCTTTCTGATTTCTTCCTATTGTTACTTTTAGCTTGTCGTTAGGGTAAGGAGATAGGAGAGGGTGGCCGGCTGAAGTGAGGCAACAGGAAGATGTCTCAGCATGCTTTTCCTTTTAAAGATGAATAATTGTGCTTGTTATCACAGAAATACAGATTTTAAAACAGTAATACCAGAATCCCAACTTCTCATTATGTCACATTGGGAAAGCTGCATCATCTCTAAGCATCATTTTTCTCTTGTGTAAAATGGACATATCTATTTTATTATTAGAAATCAATAGTTTAGTCATGATAGATGCTCAACAAATAACTTTTTTTAAAATTTATTAATTTTAATGAACATTTACAGAGATTTTGGATTTCCATTCATTTACTGTTGTGCTCTTCTCCCCCCTCCCCTCAACAAATAACTTTTTATACTACCACCTTTGCACAAGTATTGCTATAAACAGTTAGGACCCCTTTAAAATACTTAACATGAAAATATAGATAAGCAGTTTAGGCTCATTGTGTTAGTCTTATTTCTACTTATTAAAATAATCAAATAATCTCCCTGAATCCAGAAATTGCCATCTGTGTGTGTGTGTGTGTGTGTGTGTGTGTGTGTGTGTGTATCCCCAAACAAGAGGTTTGTTACTAAATTGGTAAAAGAAGAAAGATTTGCAGGAATATCAGTAGGGTGGCTACTTTTAACTGCTATAGTTCTTTTTTTTTTAAAGGGTGCATGCTGTGTGTTAGTAAAGTGCCTGTGCAAAAATTGAAAATAAAACTTTTTTTTTCATTAGGAGAGAGAAGCTCTTCAGAAACAGCTGGATGAAGCCAATCGAGAAGCACAAAAATATCGACAACAGCTTCTAAAGAAGGAACAGGAAGCAGAAGCTTACAGACAGAAATTAGAAGCAATGACTCGCCTTCAGACTAATAAAGAAGCTGTTTAATTACATTGAACATGTAGTTTGATTGTACTTTTGGTCAAGAAGGAATACAATCTTGAACTGTACACAATACACGTACAGTCATGGGAATACAGGATAATAGAAGAGACTACAGATTGATAATTGGACTAAAGCCATGAGCTCTGAAGTCTTGTAACATAAAAAGTTGTGAAGTGTATTTAAAACAGAATTCTGTAAATAGTTTTTTTTACAGTTCCAAATGGGTTGATAAAGATTGTTGAAGAGATCAAAAAAATACAATAAGCTACTGTTTTTGTGAATTCTTTTTGATTTTAGTATGAACCTTAATTTCTCAGAAACAGAACAGTTTTAAGGGTGATCTTTGTTGAGTAGACCAAATGTTGTGTATAATTAATTATGTGTTGGACTGATGCTGGAATTATTCCTGTAGGTATAATCCTTTGTATGAAGAGAAGATTTCTCCCAGGAAATCTTTGTACAGCTTTATGTTGTCTCAGATTCTCTGAAAACATTTTTTAGAAAGCAGAATTTTTATATTTGCCAATTTCAGCTATATCCAAGTAGATTTACATGTATATGAAGCAAATATTTTTTAAACTTTCTGTTTGTACATATTTTGCATGTTTTCTAATTTCAAAATGCATCACTCGCATCGGTGTTTTTCCCATGAAGATGATGAAAGTTACTGGGGAAAAAGAAAACCTTTTACAGGCCATTGAGATTAAGTAAGCTAGGATCTGGTTTTATTTGAATGACAATGTTCTTGGAAGGAGCAGCTTACAAGAGAAATTGCATTTGCAGGCTGGGGAATCTGTTTTTATTTTTTTCCCAAGTTCATAGTGGGGATGTGAACCTGAATTTTGTGCCTTCCATCATGATATATGAAAGCACTTTAAGGCACTAGATTTTAAGATAATGTTTTTGGGAAATTCAATGCATATGAGCTTCGTAAATACTTCATGAACTCCTTCTCCTTAGGAAAGGACAGCAGCTTCCCTTAGAAAATTATTCTTATGGAAAAAAAATTGCTTTTGTATGTAGAACAAAGAACTTTTTGTACTACAGTGATGCCACAGATGTATCTAACATAGCTTTTACTTTTCCCCGTGAAAGTGGTATGTCTATTCTGTGAGTCACTCTCATCACAAGATTGTGAAATTCCATGAGGTATGGACATTAAACTCTGACATACTATTTGTTTTTTTTTTAAACATAACTTCAGGCCCCTTTTTCTTGCTTTATTATTATTATTATTTTTAAGTGTTTTATTGCTTTATGAAAATGTTTAGCCCTAAAACCCCTCTAGATGATCTATACTGTATAAAGAAAGAATTACCCTTAAAACTGTACTCTGGCCTACTTTTCTATTTTACAATTAAATATCTTTTCCACATATGTTTAATGTAGACTTCTATTTTTTTATCACATCTGAATCATACATTAAAAATTTTATTCTGTAGTGTATTTAAGACATATTTCACCATCTAAAAACACTATTCCTCACACTGTGTCTTTAAATCCCCGAGGTAACTTAAGTCTGCTTATTTCTTAGCTAATTCTCGCTAGAGTGACAGAATTGTTAGTGTGGATTGTCCACCATCATTTGCTATGTGGAAATTCTCAGGAAGGTTTTAGGATAAATTTTGAAACCTTATAAAGAAGAGGAAAAAGGTCACAGTGGCACGATTCAGTAGGTTCTAACTATCTCTTCTGCAATTCTGAAAAATCTATAATGAATCTGCTTTTAATTACTGGTACCACAGTTGTAGGTAGACTCTGTTGGAGTGGACAGGGGCTAGTGTATCCATTCCACAGTGCAAAGCAGTTTTAGATCATGCTGGCCCAGAGGAACTTTGGCATAGTGTTGGAAACAAGCTCCTGAAAGCTAGTCTAAGGCCTTTGATAAGAAGGAGGTCTGATAGCTAGGTGTGTTATGTATTGTGGTGCTTAGAGGTAAGTGGTTTCCATCTACCAGCTGCGCTGAGGGAAGAGGAGATTGCTTCCTCCTGTAAAGGTTTACAGCTTCAGAAACCTGCGGAAGGTTGCTATGAGTCCACATCAGCTTGATGACTGGACTTTTGTGTTGGTTGACTTTAGGAACCCTGGTGACACTGTAAGGCTAAGCAGTTAACTGTTAGCGAAAAGGTAGTACTTCAAACCCAGCGGCCACCCTGAGGGAGAAAGATGAGAGTCTGCTACCAAAAAGATGTGGAGACTTGGAAAGCCCGTGGGGGTAGTTTTCTGTCGTATAAGGTTGTGATGATTTGGAATCAACTCCATGGCAATGAGGTTTTGGGTTTTTATTTCAACTCTTCTTTTCCACTAAGGACTTTACCTGGTGCAAGAAAAGAAATTTTGATTGTTAATAACAACTGGAATAGGTGGGAGAAATAATCAGTAATTGTTACTATTATGTGCCGTCAAATCGCCTTGACTCATAGTGATCCTATGTACAACAGCCCTAAACCCTGCTCTATCCTGTGCCAATCCTACTGTCTCTCACACATCTACCCCGTTAACCCAGTCAATGAATTGATCCGTCTCTTTGAGGGTCTTCATCTCCTGTGCTGTCCCTCCATCCTCCCAAGCATGATGTCCTTCTCCAAGAACTGGTCCCTCCTTGCAACATGCCCAGAGTATGTCAGACCAAGTTTCAGAATCCTTGCCTCCAAGGAGTAGCCCGGTCTCATCCAGTCTAAGATAAACATTTTGTTCTCTTAGCAGACCATGGTATATTCAATACTCTTCTCCAGCACCACAGCTCAAAGGCATAAGTTCTCCATGAAGGGAGTAATTCTATGACAGGGAATTCTGGTGATGTAGTCTTGTGGGGAGTTGTGCTGGACCTGTCAGTTTGAATCAATGAGCTGTTCTGGGGAGAAAGCTGGTCAATCTCAGAAATCCAGTTGGTATGGGGAGCTGTCAGCTGTGAGTCAGTCCAACTTGAGAGCAATGAGAAAGAGGTCTATGGCAGTTGATAGAATCAATTTTTTTTTATAAATTTTTTTTATTATTATTTGTGTGTGTGTGTGTGTGTGTCTGTGTACCATCAGATCAGATCTGACTGGTACAGGAGGAGATTGTCCCTCCTTTCGATAGAATCAATTCTTAACTCATGGCGACGTGATATGTGCAGAGGGGAAATGCCCCATAGAGTTTTCAGTACCAACCTCTGGGTGCATTTGAATAGCCAGCTTTTCTGCTAATAGTTGAGCCATGAACCGTTGTTCCACTAAGGAATTCAGTTGTTTTGAGAACAATTAGGGGGTGGAAATGGGTTAGCTTGGGGTTTTTTTGGCAAAATTTTTTTGGGGTGAAGTACAAATTTGGCTATCTTCAGGGAAGTAAACTTTTTTTCTGATTCTTATTTTGGACTTGTTTTAATTTTTTAAATATTTATGCTGTAGACACTTAACTGTGAGCTCAATACTTAGATAATAGTTTACATGATAAAATTAGTTTCTTTTTCTTTTTTAAAAATTAGCTCCTTTCATTGTTTTCAGGTTGATCAAAGAGCTTTTCATTCTAATCATTCTCAAAGGTTAATAGAATTGACAGGTTAAAGAATTTGAAATAACAGATTTTCATATGAATGTGCTTCTACCACCCAGCAATAGATCTGTAGTTATAGGCCATTGAGTTGGAATGCAGATGACTATTTATGTCCATTTATGTGTGAACAAACACTTAGAACAGCCTTTCCAATTGGGGTTCTGAGTGAATGACATACGGCATGTTTTTAAAGAAATTAATTTCTTTTCTAGGCATATGGCACTAAAACAGCATTGTCAAGACACTGAATTCTCTAGGTATCTGTGTTGCCTAATTTTTGACACTTCTTGGCCTATTTAAAATCTAAGGTTGATGTTTATCTGACAACTGACTTGAGTGGTCTCAGCCAGGTACTTATGAACCAATCTTCAGTCATTGTTATTTCTTTTCTTTCTATCTTACTTATTTCCAGAAAGAACTTGAGACATTTGCCCTCCTCTCCCTATCACCCCCACCCCAGTTGTTTTCAGGAACAACTTACTTTCTTTTTTTTTTTTTTTTTAGGAACAACTTTCTTATGTCAATTTTTAAATGATAGAAATGGCAGAATAGGTCCCTTATTTTATTAATGGATTGTTTTATTTCTTCCTGGAACCTCGGTAGTTGGAGTAGTTCCATGACATTCAAAAGAACGAAATATGAGAAAAGAATCTGAGTGAATCATTCCTATTGCTGTTGAGTTAATTCTGCCTCATAAGGGTCTTAGCAGGACAGAATAGAACTACTACTGCTGTGTTGGGTTTCCAAGGTTAATTTTTGTGGCAGTAAAGCCTCTTGTTATCTGAAGAGCAGCTGGTGGGTTCAAGCTGCCAACATTTTTACTATCATTCAAGCACTTAATCCCTGCACCATGATACTTTGAATAAATGTTAAATTTCATGTAAATAATACTAGTAATTTAAAAATGTATATATTTATCCAAAATATATTGCTAGTAAGAATATATGCTAGTATGCTTCTTCAAGAAAATATTTTGTGGAGGAGAATATTGAAAATGAGAAGGAACTCCTGCCTATAATAAGAATAGATGATAGAAATGTGATTGGTATTTTAGGCCAATCGCACTGATTCTTCCCTAAAGTACTCTAGGGCTGCTTCCTGTTAAAATTTGTAATATTCCTTTGTGCTTTGTTGCCTACAAAACCTTGAGAACTGACTCAACGAAATATATCAGCGTGGAAAGACCTTTTCAGCTAAAACGGCAAAACCCATTGCATTAACAACTGAATGGCTGTGAGTGAGTGCAACAAGGTACATCCATATGGGTGCTTCCCAAGACATTAGCCCTCGGGCTTATGTGGCAAATAAAAAACACTCTTCTATTCACCTAGCTTCTACTGAATAAATAACTCCTTTCGTCATGTCAGATCAATTTAGAAATGAACTAACTGATAGAGTTGTTGTTTTATTAAGTAATGTTTACTTTGCTTGGATTTCATTATAGATAACTAGTCCGTTACAGTTTTGAACAGTGTTTGCTATTTGCCTTCTCCGTGTTAGGTGAGCGCCTCTTGATACTCGTGGATTCAGTTTGACGTAAACTCTCTGAGTTAATCTCATCTTCAGATTATCTGTGATGGAAAAGAGTATCATCACTGAGGAAAGGTAGCATCTGCTTCTGTTTCCACATAAAATTTTTTAATTTTGTTATTTTTATGGTTTATTAAAGAAAACTTTTCTAAACACGCATGTGTATAAAGAGTTTTGATCATTTTGATCCTCTGAGCTCCTTTGAAATAGTCTACCTTAGTTGTTGTTATGTGCCGTTGAGTTGCCTGCAACTCATAGCGACCCTGTGCACCGCAGCCCTAAACCCTGCTCTAGCCCGTGCCAATCTAAGTCAAATAAAAATACTGAATTCAATTTGTACATCATTCTCCAAGCTTGATTTTTATATTGGTATTATAATTTCCCTCCCTTGCCCCAATACCATTTACTTCCTGAAGTCTCTTCCTGGTCTCTTAAATTCTGTTCACCATGCTTTATTACTGTTTCTTTTTACATGTAAATAGTTTTGGTCTAATGTGCATAATTGATACCTGATCTGTTTTCTGTATACCTGTATGTCTGTATAAAATATTATACAATTCAAGCCTTAATATTGATTAAATACAAAGGTTATAATTTTTAATTTACATATTTTTCTTTTATTGAGTAAGAGTTTCCAAATCATGAATTTTTCATTGGCATGAAGGGACTATTTAAATCTTTTGATTTTTTCTTCTATTTTTATAGATCAATTTTCTTACAAAATTTTTATTATACATTTGTTAAGTATTCTTTCTTGTAGTTTTACGGCCTTCGATGATTATTTTAGACTTACCATTCTCATCATAATGCTCCAGAATTATTTCAAGTTCAAATTGCATTCATTATTTTGCCAAAAAAAATATATTAAGAAAGATCACGCTTGAGTGAATTTACAATTAGACTAAAATTGTGTGAGAACTACATTCACTTCCAAGTATTTCTGCCCAGCATCTGAGCTGTATTTGCCGTTTACAGTTGTGTTAGATGGAGTTCAGTACAGATTTTTTTTTGTGAACAATTCAAAGCGTACAAGAATATACAACAAACATTCATTTACCTATCATCCCAAATTAAGAAATTTTAATGTTGCCATCTTTGTTTAAAATCTTTTAAGCAATGGAAGATAATATGTAGATAATAGTAAAAATTTTCTTTCTTTCTGATCCCATGGACACAGCTCATCCCAACTTCTTTCCTTTCATATAGGTAAGAAGGCACGATTCTCCTAAGGCAGTGTTTGTCAGCTCTGTCATTAAGGCGAATTCCCCAGACGACTCTTCAAGCTGATGACTCTCTACAGCTGATTCCTCTCAGAGAAAGTTCAATCCATCACGTAACCTTTACCACCCTTGATCCTGGCTCACATCTGTACCA